ATTCAAAGGATCCCTGTCCTGGCACTGCCAGTCAGCGTCTGGGTGACTCTGCAGGCGCCAGCTGCTCGGTGATAACATGAAAAATCTGTTTTCCTCCTGTCTTTCTTACCAAGTCTCTGGGAGGGTTCAGTAATTTTTAGAATACCGAGTGCATAAGAAACCCTCGATAATTGCTTGTTATTAATGATGAAGTACAGAGATATTTCTCAAGGCAGTCTTAGAGGATGTATTGTAGCTTGATCTTTGTATAGAAACGAAAGACAATGGATTAGTAAAGATTGACAGTGAAAGGGAAAAGGACTGAAATTTTAAAGTCGTGCATGAGAAAAAGAGAAGAAAACCGTTTAACCAGAACAGCCCACAATTCAGGGGACAAATGGGACATTAAAGACATTTGTGGCTTGTTCTCATGGCACCTTCCATATTCTCCATGATTTCCCTACATTACTTATGTGAATTCTGTGTTGTCTGTAAACTCACTTGGTATCTTGAAATGAAATTCATTAAATAAAACTTGAAAGTACCTAGGTACCATCATGCACTCCTCTCACATGACAGGGCCATTAGTAGCTCTGATGGTTTCTTCTGTTCTTTTGAGTTTGAAGATCTTTCTCCTTGTTGGAGAAGACCATTGCAAGATAGGCATTGTCTTTTTTTTTTTTTTTTAATCTATTAACATTACTTTCTCTTCCTTTACAAATAGTAGGCTTGTTCCTGCCTTGTTTTTCTTCCCCTAAGTGTAAGTTTTAAAAGAGGCTCCGGATGATTTCTCATAGACCTCTGATAATTCTCAATCACAGCCATCAGGCCAGCGTTCATCCAAGCTTAGGTAACGTTCTCACTGACCTCTATTAGTTACCATTTTGTGCTTCTCATTTTAAAAGTTGATACATTGGCCCAGCATGGTGGCGCACACCTGTAATCCCAGCGGCTTGGGATGCTGAGACAGGAGGATTGCAAGTTCAAAGCCAGCCTCAGCAACTTAGTGAGACCCTTTCTCCAAACAAAAAGGGCTGGGGATGTGGCTTAGGGAGTAACCACCCCTGGGTTCAACCCCCCAGTTCCAAAATAAAAGTTTGACATATTGGCAGATCTTCAGCATTTTAAGACCAAATACAGATGGACTCTCAAAATACAGCCCTGAGATTTTACATCTAAGGATCCAAGAAAGTGCTAGTGCTGTTGGAGGTGAAAAGTGGCATGGTTTGGAGGAGAAAGGACAGTTGGGCGTGACTTGACAGGCAGCTGATATATGGACTAAAGAAAATGTGGGAAACCACAGATAGATAGACAGCAGTCATTCGACCTTGATTATTTAACCACACACACAGATAGGATGCCAAGAGTGCTGAGTTGAGAAATGGCACAGTGACCACTGGGAGATAACCACAGCAAAGGAAATCAGGAGGAGGCTGAGAAACTGAGGAAAATGGGTTTTTTTGGAAGAGGAGGAGTGAGGACAGCTAGTGGGTAGACACAAGCAAACCAAAAGTAATTCTAAAGTTACTTTGTAATTATTAAATATCACATCATCCATGTCAACTGAGACATTCAAGGACGTGTAGCACCCAGAGCCATATCCACATATTCCAAGTAACGTCAGCTTACATACAAGTGTGTGATGAGCACGTCTCTGCTTTTCTGTAGTTGAGTTGCCTAGCTTGTGACTTTGCAATCTGGGGTGCTAGAAGATCTCCGGCTGAACTGGAGAGTTGACAGGTGTTCAAACTCCACTCTGTTTCCTAAGGCTCTCTTGTTTTTCTTCTCCTAAGCATAGGTTTTAAACGAGACTCCTGGTTATTTTTCATATACCTCTGATAACTATCTGTATCTTTAAAAGGGACAGAGGTGAAGGCAGTTGTGGTCACAGTACAAGAACACCTCCCTAGGAGGTGGCAGGCTGGCAGGAGCCTGCTGTGACCTGAGCAGGTCACTTAACCTCTTTGGTTCTCCAGGGAAATCAACGTTTTTTTCCTAAACTTACCTTCTGCCTCTTGCTCTTTTTGAAGGGCAGCGTGCTGTGGGAGTTTAAAGAGCGGATATCTTTTAGAAAAAATGTCTTATCATTTTGTAGGCCCTGGATAACATGAGGGGTTAGGGAGTATATCTTGCCCAAAATATGATTACTCACATTTTAAACTACACCTGCCTCATTTCTGAATAAACTCAATGTGTTAATTATTTAACTTAGAAAATGGGTAAAGAACTGTCATTTTAGCCTGAATCTTTTGAGGTACTGGGATTGAACCCAGGACCTTATATGCATGCCAGGCAAGAGCTCTACCACTGAGCTACATTCCCAGCCATCACCTGAATCATATCTTAAGAAACTTTTTGATTTCAATAGATGAGGTGCTACATATCAACCTCTGACCAGCAAATTCTAACTTACCATCTGGTAGATGTCACCTCAACTTTGTAAATTCTAAGAATAAATGAAATTTGGTACCACTGAGAACAGGGTAACTTAAATTACTGATCCCATGATTTTGCAACTCTGGCATCCAGACTTCTAATGGGGAAAGGTGTGAAACCAACAGCTGTGAACAGGGTACTTTTTACAAGGTTTTTTGGCAATTCTTATAGGTGACAGAGAAAATGACAGGAAAATGATGACAACTGCATTTCTGCTTTCCAGTACATTGTGCTGAAGCTGGACAATCACCAGTGCCAGAATGTAAACATCTCCTCCTTGGAAGATGAAGTCACTGGGCAGTTACTATGTATCCAAGGGACACAGACCAATGTTGGTCTTAGGTTAGCAAATATTGTAGTGGCCACCTGCTTCTGTACAAGGTCCTAGTCAGGAGGTGCAGGAATAGTCAGATTTGGGTTTTAAACCTTCTGTACCAAATGAAAAAAGAGTATCGTAGGGAAGCAGGCCTTCATACTTTCTCATGAACACCAAACTTCACAAATCTGACTGAGGGATTTCATCATGTTTTATTGGATCCAGTTTTCTAAGTCATGTTAGAAGAAAAACTAACAGGGCATGTGTTTTTCCTCACTCCCCTTAAATAGCGATAACAACCTGGCTGGTTTCCCGCTAAAATACTGCCACCCCTTATAACCCTTGACTTCTTACCTTGTCGCATGTGCCTTCCTCCTTCCCCTTGTGCTGAGCATGAATGATGTGTAGCAAGGTTGGAATATTTTCCACAAACAATTTATGCCTTGGAGATACAACATTTCTGCATAGGGCTCTGCTGCCTTTTTTTTTTTAACAAAACCCTTTTTTCCAGTTTAAATATAACATTATATTAAGAGAGTCTTCTTTCTACCAATTAGGTCAAAGTCCTAAAATTTTAAGACCCAAACCCCATGGTTTAGAGCGAACTGATTCACAAACCATAGGTGACTTTGCTACAAGAAGAAAGGGTATGTACTTTAGCACCGCATGCTCTCTGGGGCGCTGGGAATTTTATTATTTCATGTTTTGATTTTTTTTTTTTTTTTTTTAAAAAAGAAAAAAAAAAAAAAAGAGGAGTCTTAAATACTACTGCTGTTGTAAATAAAGCTTCCCAAAGCATGTTATTTCTAAAGTGAATGCTTTTCATAATGTACTGATTCTACTTAGCCATTAACAGCAGCATGTTAGATATCAGATAATATATGATATTCAGTCTTGTCTTGTGGCATTATTCTTTTAATGTTTTACGCAATGAAACATTGTTTTCTTTAAGCTTGTGAACTGCTTGTGATTTCCAGTTATCTTACACACACACACACACACACACATTTTATTTCCAGGTATTTAATTATGCCATTACTTAGATAAATTACTATTAGCCTTTGGGTGTCAAAAGAATAAAACACTAAGAATTATAAAATACATTCAGTCAGCATAATTCTGTACATGTCTAATGTAGAAAAGCAAAGCTGTTTTAACTCAAATTTAGTAAATCAACCTGCATTATATTTGAGTTAACAAAAATACCTATGGGCCCCAGGGACTCTATATAGTCTTTTGAAATGACTACCTATTTTGTAGTTTGATGGTAACTGTAACCTAATTGATTAAAATTTCACATACATCAATAAAGACTAAGGAAACATGGCAAAGTGAACATTTTTCTTGCAAGTGGCAAGATGAAACATGATTGAGATATTTATTCAATGCATCTGAGCAGTATTCTATAATATAATTAATATTTAAAAATGGTATTTTCATTTTTCTGCTGACTCTGTACCTTTCTGAAAAAACATTTCAGTCTTGACTTTAAGGAAAGGGCCAAAAACTCTGGTACAAATTAGTTCTAATAACTGTTTACTGCAATAATGAGGTAAATAAGTAAAGGCCTCTAATAAATAAAGCTAAAAATAAGCATTACTTAATTTTACTTAATTTGGTAAAGGACTCATTGGTTAAATTAAGCTAAAAGTTTGGAGTGATTGTTTAAAATAATTATGGCCTTAAAGCAGAATTTGAGTCCAAAGATATAATTTACTCTCTTTTGTTTCCAGATGGTGTGTAAATTGATTTAAAAGATTTGATAATTAATCCTTTTGGTTTTAGCAAAATTTTGTTCTGGATTTTACTAAATTTTTGGTTTTAATACTTCCTATGCATCATTTTACCTGTTTAGTTGTGTAACTGATGCTTCAGTATTGAAAAATAGTAACATTTTTATGTAGATGATTACATTTCTATATTGAGGATGAAATTAGTAAAAGAATGAGTGAATGAAATAATGAAAAGTATAAATCAAGCAACTATAAAGGAATTGAGTCACATTATTTTTTCTTGTTCACATTTCAATTACACTCACAAAACATTAAATTAAGAAGCAACATGCATGATGGAGCTTAAAACAATCATGAAACATTTTTTTCTAAGCATTGAGCTGTGTCACATCATGTAATATCCATGAACTTTGTTTCATGTGTGAAGCTAGCTGGTCTCGGGTATATTCTATTATATAAAAATTGAGAGGCAGAGGATCTTGTTTGCTTCCCAAAGTTCTACACATCCAATTCCTCCCTTCTCCCTTTCTTTTCAGCCAAGCCTGCACCTTTAGAAATAAAACCTTTGCCAGAATGGGAAGAATTACAAGCCCCAGTTAGATCTCCCATCACAAGGAGTTTTGCTCGAGAGTAAGTACTTTATTTAAAAATACATAGTGTAAGGGCTGGGGTTGTGGCTCAGTAGTAAAGCACTTGCCCTAGCATGTGTGAGGCACTGGATTCAATCCTCAGCACCACATTAAAAACAACTAAGTAAAATAAAGGTATTGTGCCCATCTACAACTAAAATATATTAAAAAAATACATTGTATAACATAATATCTAGAATTTTCATTATTAAGAAATTTATCTAGACCTTTTGAGGACTCTTGTGTAGTCAAAACTATTTTCATTAAGATACCAAGATGTCATTTGCCTTTTCCATTCTTTGTGTGCAGTGGAACTTCCCAGATCATGTGAGTTCTCATGATATGTCATGATATCATTGTGACAATTAATGTGCATTTGTGTACTCTTGTATTTTTAAAATATTTCTATTTTCATTTCTGATATGATAAATATCAATAGAATAATTCATATTAAGTTGAGGTTCTTAATATTTTTAAGAGTATCAAGGATTCATGGGACCAAAAATATCTGAGAACTACTGATCTGGAAAATATAGTAGTTTCTTAGGGGATTACTTAATTGAGATTTATTTACATATACATATGGGGAAATGAGAATAGTTTTACAAACTTAGGAACGTGCATTTGTGTTATATGTATACCTAGAGGAAGATTTTTTAAAAAATAGGAATTCTTAAATCTTTTTATATTGATATGATAGTTTTTACTTCTCTACACATCACTAGTAATAACTTATCTTTTGTTTGTATTACACAATATAATTTGACGTACAAATCTCCTTTTATAATACATCTGTGTTAGTTGCATTTTAATGTGTATAATAAATTCTATTGTAATTAATGTGTACAATCAATGTAAATGAATATTTCAGAAGGCATGCACACCTTCATTTTTATTTGGGGGAGTGATTTCAGAAGTTTTCATCAAGGTTTACATATATGATGATAATTTCTGTGATTAGCTCCTCTAGGTTTCCCTTGTCCCCACGGCCAGATTCAGTGCACAGCACAACGTCAAGCAGTGACTCACATGACAGCGAGGAGAATTATGTGCCCATGAACCCCAACCTGTCCAGCGAAGATCCAGTATGTAAACTCTTTGCCTGATCCTCTCCTTTCCTAAGCGGTGTTTTGCTCTAATTTTCCTTCAGTCTATAAACTTTACCCTCATGTCTCTTTCTTCCAGTACTTAAGGGAACACAACCAAAGACAACATGGATAAAATCTAAAACCAGTAAAGAGTCAAAATTTAAAATAACTGTAAATCATTGAAAAACAAAAGTTTCTGTTAAATCAGCTTTCTATTACTATAACAAATACTTTTTAAACTAATGAACTTATAAAGAGAAGAAGTTCATTTGAGGTCACAGTTTTAGAGGTTGCAGTCCAGGATTAGTTGGCTCTGTTTCTTTGGCCTTTTGTAGTACATCTTGGCAAGAGCAAGTGGCAGAGCCACTCACTCACCTCATGGCCAGAAAACAAGAGAGAATAAGAAGGGAGACCAGGATCTCAATCCCTTCAAAGCCATGCCCATGAAGGCCTCAAGAAATATAGTAGTTTCTTAGGGGGTTACTTAGTTGAGTTTTATTTAAATATAAATAAATCATAAGAATCATTTTACAAACTTAGGAACACGTGTTTGTGTTATATGTATACATAGAGGAAGGTTTTTTTAAAAAAATAGGAATTCTTAAATTTTTTAATATTTATATGAAAGTCTTGTACTTCTCTACACATCACTAAGCCTTCTAAGCCCTGCCTCTTCAAAGTTCCACCACATTCCAGTAGGACTACAATAAGGACCAAGCCTTTAACATATGGGCTTTTGGGGGTGCATTTCCTGATCCATCTATAGCGGTTTTCTAGAAGTACTTCATTTAAGATGTGCTCGGTTTTTGATACTCTTCAGAAAAATATACTGGAAGTATTTGATAACGTCTTTCTCCAGGCCCAAGTAATGACATTCTTGTGGTGAGAAGGTCTTATACAGGAGATTCTTGATAATCTTTCGAGAATATACCCTTGGGCTTAAAGATTAAAGAAGACCTGTTATAAACATAATATTTTTAAGGTTGGCTGTATTGCCACAAGGCATGAGAACTTTATCATAGCAGCAAATGTTTTGTTTCTCAGAAATCTAAAAAATACTTCAGATGTTTCAGAATAAAAACCAATTTTAATTTTTAAAAATAATTCTCTTTTGCTTATTCTCTTATTGTATCTTATTATATAGAGTATCTACTAGACCTATTTAGTATCTACTAACCTGTTTAACAGTGACTTAAAAAAGAAGTTTCTTTCTTCCTCATGCAAAAATCCAGAGAGTCAGTTGAGAGCTGTCAGGGATTCCGGCCTCTTTAGCTCTGCAAGGTAGTGTCCTCTGCGTGTAGCTCACATGCTCATGGAGTAAGGTCATGTTCCAGCCAACAGATTGACACACAGACTGCAGGGTAGGATGGGGGACAAAGGGAACAGGAGCAAAGGGTTCAATCCAGCAGCTCATAAAAAAGGTTCCTGAAAATGGCCACAGAGAAACCAGAACTATGGCCATTTTCAGACACAAAAGGGTCTGGGAAACAGCCTTTTTTCAAAGGGTCATTGGACTCACATAAAAGTTCCATCATGGAGCTGTGCGCGGTAGCACACACCTGTAATTCCAGCGGCTTGGGAGGCTGAGATAGGAAGATCGTGAGTTCAAAGCCAGCCTCAGCAACAATGAGGCGCTAAGCAACTCAGCGAGACTCTGTCTCTAAATAAAATACAAAATAGGGCTGGGGATGTGGCTCAGTGGTCGAGTGCCCCTGAGTTCAATCCCTGGTACCAAAAAAAAAAAAAAGGCTCTATCATGGGAGAAGGGAGAGCAGTTGGAGAACAACAGGATAAGCAAACATTGAATATCAAATTTTTGAGTCACATTTTGGAGGTCTTATTTTCTTTCTTTGTTGTAAGCTCAGTTCAGTCAATGAATTTGTCTTTCATTCTGCATAGACTTTAAGCAAAATAGGTCCCTCAGACACGTATGTCAGCAGTCATAATGAAATGATATGGAAAGCTCGATTTGGTGCTATACTGGTTAACTTTAAAAATTAATAAATTTATGAAATATTCAAAAATAATTTATAATATTTAAGTCAACATTGAATTTGACTGTAACTAATTAGACCAATAATGATTTTAGAGATTACTCAAGGCAGAAAAATTTTTACTGACTCTTAGTTTTTGGATTCAATTTTTTTTTTACTTGTTGAGTAGTTGTTCTATCATTTTTTTTATTAATTTAATTTGTTTTCTCACTATAGTGAATAGACTCAAGTAAGAGAATCAGTAATACTTCATCAGAGTAGATACTGTCACCAACTTTCATAATTAGGTAGTTGAACCAATTTTTTTTTCTAATTGCAAAATAATAATTAGAGTATTTTCTGAGCTAGAAGAGATTTTATATTTTTGCTCAAAATAGTAAGTAACCATAAAAATCTTAGGAAGACAATGTAAAAGCCTGAAAGTAGAATTTGTCATAGGTGAAGGTAAAAGACCAGAAAAAAGACCATTATAGTCAGAAGTCAAAGGAAGTAAAAATATGTATTTTTGTACCTATGACATTAAACCAGAAAACCACATTTATTTGCCAGGAGGGATGTCTAAATAATCACTGATGGATTGCTGAAGAACTTTGGTCATAAGTGTTAGAAATGACCAAAAATGACCCAGGTGGAAATATCTGTCTACCATGTTCAGTAGAAAAGTCAACTGAGCCATGAGTGCCAACTACAAGGCCTCCTTGTAGTACATGCAACTCTTCCTTAGAAAATTATGTGATCATTGTAACAATATTGGGAACTTAGTGTACTAATGAAACACCATGGAAGTTCACTGGATCTAATGCATGCTGATGAAGTCAGTAATAAACTAATCTTAAAGTTCAATAAGTTGAGACAGGATCAGACCATATCTGGTTTATTCATACAATGAAGACCAAATTCTTGAAATTGACATTTTACAGCTCATTTCCTAGGAGATTATGTCTGTCATAGGCAGTGAAACAGTGAATTGGTGATGCTGTCCACTAATTTGTATGAAGATCAATGTCAAACATTTGAACCCTTAATTTAATACCTGAAATTTAAGTGATGGTACACTATTACTAAAGACATAAATTGTTACATAATAACAACATACATATCCTAAATGATCTTACATGTTTTTTGAAGAATTTTAGAAAAATCTAGCATTACTGTTTTGTTATTTAATTTACAGAACACGATATAATTTCCACAGTTCCTCAGAAAACTATTTTGGAAACACAGTGGGTGAAAGGCTAGAACACAGAGGGAGGCTGTTCCCTGTTGAAACCGATCAAGAACAAATAGACTTCCTCATCGACACACAGATTTTAACAATACTTAAACATTTCCAGTTTTAGTAGTCACTAGACATAAAACTTAACTAGCAGTTCTGAGAAATTCTCTTTGGGGACAACTTATTAGGGTTAAATGAGCAGGTCATATGAATTTATGGATTCTCTTTATATCTTTATAACACTGTGAACACTTCTAGGCGTTTCCAGGCAGGAAAACATGGGATGTGGGTTGTTATCCATCACCTTTGAACATGGAATATTGCTTACCCTCCCAGCTGATTTGTTGTGAGAGTAAAATATGGCCTTACGCAGGGGGAGAAAATGACACTGATTTCAGCTTCTTCATGAATTAGTAAAATGGGGGGTATTGTCTTTAGCAATTCAGCTTGAGCAAAATTTTCTTATATTTTTCAACCCTACATGTTAATTTCAATATTTTATTTGCAGTTGTTGAGAAATTTGATTTAAAATTCTTTTTCTTTAAATAGGGTCATTGCATTCACCTGTGCAGTTGCTTGCTTCACTCTTACACCCCAGCACATGAAATCCAGGCCATGTGGGGCCCCTCATCAGGTTGTGGGCCCTGGCACAGAGTGTGTCACTTCAGAGAAAGGAGCACCTTTTTCTAATTTATAAAAGGATTTATACTGCCTATCAGCAGCCCCACTACCACATGAGGGAATAAACTGAGTATTTTTCTAGCAAATGTTCTTTCCTTTAAACACAACTCTCTACTTTAACTGTAGGTCGTGGGAGACAGGGGTGAAACAGCAACTCAAAGAGTCAACGGAACCAGATTCATGCACAAGTCCCTAATGAGCATGCGGTCTTCCTTGTGAGGCAGCATTTCTAGATGGGCGTTGTGCATGGTGGCAAATCACTTTGGCGCACACTTAGGATACAAAAGAGAGAGAACGTAGGGACATAAGGGCATTTCGCCCTCCTCCTATTTAGCATTGGTTCGAGTTCCTGCTAACCTGATCCATTTTTATTTTTCTTAAGCCTCTAGCTTTTTGGTTCTTGTTTATTGCTATCCTCTATCTTCCTATTTTCTTTATTTTACTTTAGAGAGTAGTCCTGTTGTACACTTCCTTTTAGAAAGGAAGAGATCAAACTAAGAAAAGACAGGAAATTAATTAGTTAAAAGAAATCCAGATGATTAAATAAAATAGACTTTGGAATCATTATCTATAACCTTGAGATAATATACTTAACTCAAAACTAATGTTTTTGCATGAAAGCCTTTAAATTAACCATAGAAGCTTTCTTTTAAATTTAATTTGAAAGCAGTGGGTATAAGGAGCCTCTGCTATAAAAATGTAATTGAGTACAATATAATTTTAATAATGTTCAGATTGAACTTTTATGGCCAGCTGTGGTTTGATTTCCCCAGTCTAAGTTTAACCAAATTTAACTTCTGAAACTACTTTTGGCTTCCTCTCAGTTTTAATACATTTAAAATATTATTCATTAAATCCTAAGAGTTTATTTAATTTTCTAAGCAGACATTTTTTTCTAGCCTTGTTCTTTTAAAAAGCAAGTACAAGGTGAATGGTATATATCAGTGGTGGTGGCTCACATGTGTATTCCTAGCTACTCAGGAGGCTGAGGCAGGAGGATCTCTTGAGCCCAGGAGTTTTAAGGCCCCCAACTCAAATGAAAAAGGATGAATGGTGTGTTTCATGAATGTTTGACGGCTGGTGTTGTTGTGGTTCACTTTCAGAATCTTTTTGGCAGTAATAGCCTTGATGGAGGAAGCAGTCCTATGATCAAGCCCAAGGGAGACAAGCAGGTGGAGTACCTTGATCTAGATTTAGATTCTGGGAAGTCCACACCACCGCGGAAGGTGAGTGAAACCTCATTCCACAAATGTAGTTAGCGTGCACTTTAAACGAGCATTGTCTCCTTGGGGAAACCTTTATTATGTTTAATTTAATGAAGTCTATTACTTAATGCACTTTTGAAAACTGCAACAAAATGGTGGAGTCTGAGTCAGGCACAGTGGCACACGCCTGTAATCCAGAGACCCAGGAGGCTGGATCAGGAGGATCACAAGTTCAAGACTAGTTCAGAAACTTAGAGAGACCTTGTCTCAAAGAATAAAAGGGGTGGGGAAATGTGGCTCAGTGGCGGAGCACCCCTGGGTTCAATCCCTAGTATTCCGCCCCCACCTCAAAAAAAAAAAAGAAAGAAAGAAAAAATTATGGAGACTGATAAAGTAACTTTCTCTTTTCTGATGGTATGGCGGTTAGATATTTTCTGTTCTTACCACTGAAATGATTGCTTAACAGATTCTTAAGGTAAACAATATCTTCATTCTTTTTTAGAAAGTTATCTCAAATTATATGTTCTTTCTGTCCAAAATTTCAATTTTTTTCTTTTGTTAAGCCCACAATTAGTAGTATTAGTAGGAATGCATTTTGTAAACAGTATTGACTTACATCTTCCTACCTGCTTACCAACTTCTTTGTCTATCACTCTTTTTGTATCTTAGACTCTCCTTCGTGTAATTATTTTTTTCCTTCTGAAATGTAGCCTTTAGAAGTTTCTTTAGTGGAGCTCTGTGGGTGGTAAATCCTTTCCACTTTTTGTTTGTTTGTTTGTTTTATGTGATGTCTTGATTTTGCTTTATCTTGGAAAACAAGACGGGGTTCAGCCGACAGCTCTTGACTGACGGTAACTTTCTCACCACGTAGAAGACACTGTTCCCCCCTCACCTTGCTTCTGTCCCTTGTGAGGAAAGCATGTTGTAGTCCGATGGCTGTTCCTATGCAGGTCACCTATCCTTTCTATCTGGCTGATTTTAAACTCTTTCCTCTGTTTGTGTCATTTTGCAGTTTCCCAACAGTGTCTAGACATGAATTGCTTTTTATTTGTGCTGCTATTTCATTTTCTGGGTTTGCAATTTTTTCTCAACTCTGGAAAAATGTCAGTCATTCATTTTACTGTTTATTCTCTCCTCTGACATTTCTGATTAGACATGTTAGGATGTCTGTATTTTCTGGATCTCTTACCATTCTTTTATAATTTCTGCTTGTCATCTCTCTGTGCTTAATTGGATAGTTTCTTTACATCTTTCACCAAGTTCACTAATTCTCTATTCTTCCTATTTGTTTAGTTTTCAATTATTTTATATTTCATTTCTAAAATACAGTTTGCTGATTTTAACAACTTTGGATTTCTTATTTGTTTTATTCCTTTTATATTTATGCTTTAGTTCCTTTAAACATTTTGTACGTACATGTTTTATGCTGTTGATGCAGTAACTTTGATAGTCTGAAGTCCTTGGAGGTTTGAATTTATGTTTATTGTTTCTGCTCTTTTTTTTTTTGGTACTAGGGATTAAACCCAGGGGCACTTAACCACTGATCCATATCCCCAGCCCTTTTTTATATTTTATTTAGAGACAGGGCCCCACTGAGTTGCTTAGGGCCTTGTTAAGTTGCTGAGGCTGACTTTGAACTCTCAATCCTCTTGCCTCAGCCTCCTGAGCTGCTGGGATTACAGGCACGCGCAACTGCGCCCAGCTGCTAACTCATTCTTTTTGGCTTGTGTGTGTGTACATTGTCTAATTGCAAATCCTGAGGACCTAAATTTCCTCCAGAAAAGATTTGTATTACCTTTTGCTAGGAACCAGGAGCTACTACTACCATAGTTTAGTTCCCTCCAGGGACCACAGCTTAACAGGATAGCCTTAGGTTCAGCATGACCTCCTTCCCCCAGCCTCCTAGTTGCTCTGCTAGATTGACATCCATCCTGAAGACAAGGTTTCTTTCCATGCCTTAACCTCTCCCTCCATTTTTCTTATAATTAGCTGTTTTCTTTCTAGTGAGCCCAGCAATGCATTAATAATCACATTTAAGTTATCTAGTATCAGGCTGGATTTGGAGAGTCAAAGAGCATCAGCCCATGTAATTGATTGTTCTTGAACTATTGCTTTGCAAAAATCAACAATGAAACAAAACACAAAAAAAACCCACACATTTCTTAGCTCTGAAAGTAAACACTGGATTTAAAAAAAAAAGTCAAGTTAAAGGGAGAATCAATCTGCATATGTTAAGATGAACTATGATACGGCAAAATGCATTCTACTGCCATGTATAACTAAAGAGAACAAATAAAAAATTTTTAAAAAAAGATGAACTAGGTATTTTCTGTCCCTGTTTCCTATGAATAACATCTCTGATGGGAGTGTTAGTATGAATTCTATAATTTTAAATTAAAGAGAAAATGATGTTTAGTTAGGAGAGAGACGGCATTGTTAAATTGAGGTAGTTAATGGTATTTCTTTGTGAGCCAATAGAATTTCAAGAATATCCATAGTGCATGTATGTCCATTTTAAGACTGAATTTCACTCAGTCCCACTTTACTTTTTTAAGTAAAAAATTTTTTTACTTTTTTGTTTTTTCTTTGCATTTTAGCAAAAGAGCAGTGGCTCAGGAAGCAGTGTGGCGGATGAGAGAGTAGATTATGTCGTGGTTGACCAGCAGAAGACCCTGGCTCTCAAGAGTACCCGGGAGGCCTGGACGGATGGAAGACAGTCCACAGAATCAGAAACACCAACCAAGGGTGTGAAATGAATATATCACCTTGCCATTTCTGAACAAAAGAGAACCGAATGTAGAGAGAAATCCTGTTTGAAAATGACGTGACGCTTCTATGCTAACTAGATCCTCAAGTGAGCAGAGTTGAAGTCAAGGGACCCGTCACACATAATCAAGCAGTTGGGATTGGAAATGGTGCTTTGTGGTATCTGAACAATTTGTAACATGTAAATAATGTGGAAAAATAGTCTCATTTAGCTCCCAGAGAAACATTGGTCCCGTGGTTAACACATTTGTAGTATTACTGTATTTATGCACTTTTTCATTTAAAACATTGGTTTGGGTCTTCTCGATGAACCTTAGTGGAATTCCTTTGGGAGTTCTTGTTTTTTTCTCACACTACTCTCTATAACAATACTAAGTTAACTAAGCTACTTTTAGATCTGGAAATTGCTGTTGAAACTACAGTCTAACAACATGAAAATGAGAAGTAGGATCCCAAATTAGCTTTCTACCTGACATTACAGGTGGTAACCATTAGCTTGAACTACCAAGTCCTCCACTGCCTTTCAGTATGCTGAGGATAATGTATGTATTGGTGTCAGGACCTAGTTCTCTGGTTCATGTGCATTTAGTTTTTAATGGAGGGACTTTGTTGTATTTTGTTAATGACAGTGTTTTTGGTTCATTGAGTGAAGATTCTGCCGGGTGGGATCTTGCACCTTTGAAAGACTGAATATAAATTACACTATCAAGTAACCCTGAAAATCATTGACAGCGTGCAGTGATGACATGCTCTTACGCTTGTTAACATGTATTGAGCATTACTTGCAAAAGGTAGATAATATAACTAATCAGGTACGTACCGGGCACTGAAGTGCTAATACACTGATCAGGTTTAGACAATGAGCTTTAGTTGTGTTGTTCTTCATCCTAAATATTGGTTTCCAGTGTGGAGTTAAGGAAACAGTTGACATTCACTGTTAGTAATAGCAACATACTGTGATTCTTAATTAGACAGTAATTGAGATTTATAACTCTTAAGAATGAAATTCTATCTTTTGACACCATAGTGCCCTTTCTATGATTTTATTTTACTTAATATTCTTCTTGGCCTTATATTTAAATTCCTATGCAATTAATGTTTTATATCTTCATTTTAAAAAAAAATAGATGTTATATTAGTGATTCTCATGTAGCACCTGTTGTTTTTCCAGTAAAAGAATTTAGGATTTTGTACTGTGATTTTCTTCACTGCCCCTGTTCGTGAAATATCAGAGCCTTGCTGTAATGTGAAGTCTTCTACCCACGGACCCCTTCCAACCAGATTTCCAAAACCACCAGAGGAATGGCGTAATTCTGTCTCACCTATAACATGGTCCTGTGTCACAGATGTCAAGACCACAAACTGTAGTGAGACTACAGTTATATTCATCTTTCTTGGCTTTGCAACACACTTTAGAAAGCAGATATAGTTGTTTGGGGTTCTTTTTTATTACCTAAGTCACGGACAGTCTCTTATGTATTGATTTCAGACTTACAGCTTTTGGGGGGTGCATAGAAATGGGGTGCCCACCACTGAGGCACAACCCACTCCATTCAGACCTCTCACTGTTGCCTGAGTACACAGATGTGCCCTGATTTCTGGCCCTTTGGCCCTAGTACTGTGCCTGATCCATGTGCTGGGTTAACTTCCCCAGTCCACAAACTATGTGCTAATTACAAGATGAATTGTAGACTAGTAACATGTGATGCTTTTAAATGTTTGCTTTATTTTAAACAAAAACTAAAACCCAGAACTGAATTTTGAGGTGGATTTTTAAATAAAAAAAGATCTGTTTGATTTTGGTGTGCAAGCTGTTTTATAATAAAACCACAAAATAAAAATCTAAAATCATTGAAATGTGCCTAAACTGTCAAAACACACAACACAGTTGATGTGTAAAGGTACACCATTGACATTTTACCTGGAGGAGGAACGTATTTTGAAGTTTAAAACCCAGTAACAAATATGTGATAAATTCAGAAATAAAAATCTTTCCTTAAACCTGCCTATCTGGAGGGTCCAAAGCCATTATGAATGTTTTCAGTGTAGTTTCTCAACTTTTTTACAAGTTACTCACCATTTTTGTAGATCTACAACACTCTGTTTTTTAGAATTCTTACCATTATGCTGAAGAATGGAGGGTCTGGGGATGTAGCTCAATAGTAGATCATGTACTTATTAGCATGTGCGAGGCCCTGGTTCAATCTGCAGCACCAAAAAAGTAAGAGAATTGAAATGTTATTATAAAGTTAGTTTGCTTTAAAAAACTAAATCACATTAAACTCTGTATTAACAAATTAAATTAAAAGATGGTTTCTTTATAGAACTTTGTTTTTCAGGACTAGAATATTTTTAAAATTTTAATGTATTATTTCAATACATACAGCCCCCAAGGTCGATTTTATCTGTATAAATATTTTTCAAGTTTCTGCTTATGTTAAATTGTTGGTTCATTACTATGAAAAACAAGATTTCTGAATAACACAAATGTGGAGTTATGGTGGAGGAAATCTTAGCGGTTTGTGTGCTATCAATAAAACACGAATATAAGTGCTTATAATAACAGTCCAAATACACATCTCTGGAGGAGTCTTTAATTAGAGATAGCTGAAATTATCTTCCAAAGACTATATAAAGATATAAATTATCTTGGTAGTAGAAGTTAACACATAAGCAGTCTCCAGTGTGGTAAAATAAGGTATGTGTTAGGATGTGTGGTTTTAGTAAGTTTTTAAATACGCACTTAAACTAAATTGAATGATATCCTTTTAACTCACCCATAAATCACCTCCAAGAAGCTAGATTTCAGGGAGGCATGGGATGTAAACCACTCATTACCCATGTGATGTTAGAGATCAGAAATCTTTCCCCCACATTTGATGTTTCATATCTTGTATTCCTTATTTGACAAAATTTTAAGGTTTTTTAAATTTTATTTATTGATTGACACTGGGGATTGAACCTGGAGGTGCTTTACCACCAGACCACATCCCCAGACATTTTTATTTTTATTTTGAGACAGAGACTAAATTTCTAAGTTGCTGGGATTATAGGTATGTGCCACCATACCCAAGACAAAATTGTAAGATCTTATATAGGTTTGAATGCCAAAACACAGTCTGCTTTCAAAAGTCAAAACTCATACTTTAAAAATTGAAGCTATTTAACCCACAGCAGGTATCACTCAAGCTATACAAGATGTTTTAATCTACACTCTAGTTTATACACTTTTACTGTGAGCATTTTAGAGAATTCCATAAAGGTACTATGGGTGTGTTTAATCAGATGCTAAGTTTAATTTGATATAGAAATGCTGTTGTACATTAAGGTCATAATTTCTTCTGGAGTTTTTATATTTAATTAATGAGGTTCACAATCTTCCTGTTCACAAGTGTGTTTAAACTGGAAATTGAATACCAGTGTTGTTTTTCTTTTTCTACTACTGGAGAGTTGTCTGCTTTCCCCCTACGGAGAAAACAATACTTTTAAAATATTTTGTTAAAATGTTAACTACTATATGCTTATTTACTGTGCCATAGATTCTGATTGTAATTCTCTGTTGTTCTCGAAAACTCTTAATGCCTTCTTCCTTTGGTCCACTCCAAGTGTGAATGACTGCAAAATTTTTGAGGCTTTACAATGAGGTGCCCCTGTCTGTGGATCATTCTGGTAGGTCTCGCCCTCTGCTGTCGGGTAGCCAGGTCAGTGACAGGGTTGTATACGTGGCCAAATCATCTGGGTTTTCAGAGCAAGAAAGAGACATATATCCCAGGATAACAGTTACTTACAGTCACACTTGATGTTATGCATAAATTTTTATGTGATTTTAAATACTGAACCATGAGATGAAATGCCACAGTGTAAATGAGTATCGATGGCATCATGGACTTGAAAAACAATGTCATATTATTGAGATAATTGTTTTCAGTCTTTCTAAATATGTTTATGTACTATTATGATTTGAAATAATTTAGTCTGTCTTCCCTTCCCATAGATTTATTTTTGTTTAGGTTCAGTATAATCTCTGAGTTTCTATAAACTAACTCACCAGGGGATTAACATAGTTTCTACTTCCTTTACCTAAGGAAGACAAAGTTCTGACCGTTCTGCATGAGCTCTGGAACCTAAGTTGATTATTGATGTCTTCCCACATTTCAGCAGCAAAATCTTATGTATAAATTTACTTCTCCCCTTTTGCACATCTTCTTTTGTAAAGATCCAATTGTAGATATTTTATGCTACCCAAATAAAAACTTTCAAACAGTTTGGTTTCAGGACCTTTGAATAGATGATAGAGATTGTGAACTAAGGACATATACATGTGTATTTGCAAATATTTTAATAAGGATGGATAGATGTTTATTTCCAACCCTTCCATAAAGTGTGCCTGGATCAGAACCTCAGTTCTGCTATTAATTGAACTTATTAGACCCACGTCTTTAGGGTCACACATTTTCTGCACAGAGATTTCACTAAGTCATGCTAAAATATCATGACCTGCTCTAAATAGGAAACGCTTCTAAGACACATTAATATATCATTATCCCTCCATCCAGCCAGTGCCAATAGCATTTTGTAGAATATAAGACCAAATAAATAGGGGCCTGTATGCAGCCTTAACCATGAGAAGCTGCATCTTATACATAAAATATGATTTGGGCAGTGATAATGTTTATTATTTCTATGAGAGTCTCCAAACATCCCTAGCCCTTTATAAAATCCCAGGAATTTGGACAAGTCAGCCCTTGGGTCTGCTCAGCCCAGCATTTTGCAGCTTTCTCATTAAATCACTTTTGGGGAGGTGAGGTTGTCTTCTTTGAGGTCATCCTTGCTTTATCTGTTTTTCTGTCATCTTGTATGTAAGTGAAACATCCTCTGATAGAGAAATGCTTTTTGAATTTCAGTTTTGTACAGAATATCTTGGCAACTCTGTAAATGATGTAGTATTTTTAAAAGCTGGGTCAGCAGATGGAGGCATTTGATTATTTTGTGATTGGTTACAGTCCCTGCTTTAGTATTACATTAATTTTTTTTCCCCAGTACTGGGGATTGAACCCCGGGCACTGTACCATGGACCTACATCCTCAGTACCTGTTTCTTATTTTGAAACAGGGTCTTGACAAGTTGCTAAGGCTAACCCAGAACTTGGGATCCTTCTACCTCCATCTCCCAAATAGCTGGCATTATGGGTGTGTGCCACTGCACCCAGCTACATAAAATTTTTTTAAGAAAATAAACAATTGCCTATAGAAAATGAAGTTTCTGAGACGTTTTTCTACACTTCGTTAGACGGGATGTTATTACTCCTAGTTATTTTTGGTGATTAACTCTTAGATGAGCGTGTCTCCTCTTAATTTTTTGATCTATGTAGTGCCCAGAACATCTGGAATACTCTAAAGAGTCATATGTATATATGACATATATAGTATGGAAAGTTTTTAAATCAAATATCCCCCAAAATTTACTTTATCAAATATGGATAGTGGTGGTTAATTTTCTGCCAACGAGCTAAGCTATAGCACCCATGTGTGGTCAAAAACTAATCTGAGATGTTGCTCTGAAGGTGTTTGTAGATGTGATTAAAATCAATTGATTTTAAGTAAAGCCTAACATGGGTGGGCCTCATCTAGTCAGTTGAAGGCTTTCAGAGCAGAATCTGGAGCTTCCCAAAGAAGGAGTTCTGCCTTAAGACCGCACATTAGAATGGGAGATGTTAACTCATTGGTAGAGCCCTTGCCTAGCAAGGCCCTGGGATCCAAACCAAACTAAACAACAACAAAAAAACTACAACATTAATTTTGCCTCAGTTTCTCGTCTCCGACCTACTCTGTAAATTTCAGACTTGCCAGACCTAATTATCTTCAAGTCTTCCTTAACATGAAACTCATCTGCCTGTCTCTTCTTCTCCCTTTCTCTTTCATCTTTCTTTCCTTTCTTCCCTCCCTCCCTCTTCCTCTCTCTCTTCCTCTTTCTCTCTCCATATATAATAGATATGTGTTTGTTTAATATGTGAAATAATAACAAATGATACAGAACAGCAAATACATGATTCTGTTTCCAACAATGAACTACATATGACAATTTATGAATTAAACTGAGTGCTTCTTAGCAATGATTTTAAAGTTTAATTTGAAATATATTGGCAGTCCTTGCTCCAAAATGTTTTTCTTTTCTATAATACTCGATGAATTAATTTCCAGAGTCATATACTGACAGCCATGTTTCCACTCTGGCCTTAATTTACTGTCTTCTAGGAATTGTTAAATTGTCATCTCCAATGAGGAAATCCAGAATGATAAGAACGCAAAGATGATTGGGTTCTGGCTGAGTAGGATCAAGGATTCAGTTAGGGCAAAGGTTAATTGTAGTTGTCACATGCTATAACCCTAATGCACATGCATTTAGTTATCTCTGCCTTAAATTTCCTTTCTGTACATAAAACAATACCCTACAAACCTCTAACACTATTTTTAATCAACTTTGCAAAAACATTGAGCCTGAAAGTTGTTTATTCCAATCCTCAGACAAAGGAGTAATTTTGTCTTTCTTCTCTCTTTTTTTTTTTTTTTTTTTTTTGGTGGGGGGGTGTTTTGGTGATTGAACCCTGCACCTCATGTATACTAGGCAATCATTCCACCACTGATCTGCATCTCTATTCCTCTTTTTTAAAAATTTTGAGACAGGATCATGGTACGTTGCCCAGGCTGGCCTCAAACTTGCAATCTTCCTGCCTTAGCCTCCTAAATAGCTGGGATTACAGGTATGCACCACCATGCCCAGCTACATAAAATTTTTGAGTAAGATAAATGCTCGACTATGGAAAATTAAGTTTCTGAGATGTATTTCTATGTTTCTTTAGAGAGGATGTTATTACTCATGGTCATTTTTGGTGATTAACTGCTAGATTCCAAATAAGAAAATAACTTTTGTCCCATTTTTTTTCCCTACTGGATAGTGGGCAATTAAAAATCCCAATCAGTTTGCTAAAGTACTGGTACCTGTGTGGCACAGGCCAGGTGCTATGGAAAACACGAGAAATCTACATCACATTTGTGTTTACAAATTAATACATGTAAAATGACAGATGATACAGGATAGTAAGTAAACAATTCTGTTTCCAACATTGAAGTTACCAA